CTCTATTGTCGAAACAAAACATCATACTCAAGATACTTAGCAACTCTATCATTCTTGATTCAGATTTGCTGGAAGTGCTCCTCGAACTCATCAACCCGATAAGCTTTTGCTGCCATGTAGTATGTCTGAAGAAGGCCAGCACACTTAAACTTTTGTTTTATGTCTCACCAAGGTGCCTCATACAGAATCCGTGATGTGCTTGACGATAAATAATGGCAATTCCTTCTTTATAGAGTTATGCCTATCAGATATTATGCACAACTCGTCACTGTCAGGAGGTACGTACATAATTGCTGAAAAAACCAAGTCCAGACTTGTCATTCTCAGAGTCAACCACACACCATGCAACAGGATATGTGTGATTCTCGGTCTTGTGCAGTGGCCACCAACAATGTACCTCTATACTTTCCCATTAGAAAGCAACCAACAGCCAATACCTTTCTCATGTTACAAAACCCCTATAGCAAAACCGTAAGCAACAAAAAAATATTTAAACATCATATTCATGTCCACTTCAAAGTCGTCTTACTACCTTGGTTTGTCAAATCAAACATATAATGGTACGCTTCTAATACTGTATCCGTGCTCTGGCATGCCCCTCACAAAATCTATGCATGTTGTCTCCCTTTAGCATTTCCAATAACAAAGCACATCCCAATTGTGCACAAATCTTGAATGTCTTTAGGAGATGGATATTTCCCTTCAACGAACCGACTTTTGACAAATATCCAATAACATCAGCGGAGGCTTGTTGATGCTCACCTAAAATATGTCTCAAACCACATGTGTGCTCATGGTATATGTGCTAAGAATAATTTTTTCCGACTCCGCCAACCTTCTACAATAAACCCGCCACTTGCACTTTCGGTCAGACATGCAACCGTCACAGCCAGAATTTGATTTTTTTGGTATGAACTCAAAATTAGCTTCACGGCAACAAGTTTTAGCTTCCTCACCGCTTCCTCTTTATTGTCAATAAATACCCTATGCGCAACTCCGATCCATCCGTAAAAACATGAGCGATTCACTACTACATGCAATTGCTCCCTCTAACCTGCCAAAGACCATAGTGTCTCTCTCACAAAACTACACCTTTTGCATAATCTGTATTTAAAAGAATCTCTAAATCTGCGGGAACATGTACGGGGTCCTCTTCCTCAACATTTTTATTCTGCCCCTTATGACCAACGTCTTCTACAGGTCCTCCTCACCACCCGATTCAAGTCTACTCTTGATTTTTCACTAACAAATCAATGCCCTCGTAGTTCAAATTAAAACCAGACAAATCTCTGCCTATTTCCTTGTTATCCCCTTCCTTTGAAAAACTTCCAACGATTTTTCTACAAAAGAAACCCTTAAAATCGGTCTTGACCCATTATCGGCCACATCAATCATATATAACTTCACAATGTCATCCGACTTTAATTTAGCAGGAGGTACCTTATAATGTTCAGGAACTCTGCTTAAAACATACTCAAACTACTCATACGTGAGCAACTCAAATCACTCTCTAATTATTTCATCAATTAACTCCTCAAAACTAACCTCTGTGCTCACAGCAATTGGTATAATTCTTGCTTTCCCAATCCATTCCAGCTACTTCTTTCTCCACCCACTCATCAAAATATTTAACACCAAAACAACTTGTCATGTGTCTAATAATAACAACACCTATAATGCAAGAAAAAATATCTAACTGTTGTACTAAGGGTTGAAATATTTTAAAAAGTATCTGCACAGTCGCTTGATAGATTTGGTATATTGCTTAAGCAATATGGTATATCGTTTACTGGATCGCTAAGCGATATAAGCAATCCAGCATAATAAACATGATGCTTAAGCGATCTTATGCCATTTGCTGATCGCTTAAGCGATCTGACTAACACCAGACTTTTAGCAGATCGCTTAAGTGATCTATCTACTGCATTACCAGACGTACCAGATGCTTAAGCGATACACTCTATCTACTGCATTACCAGCCATACCAGATCGCATAAGTGATACACCAGATCGCTTAAGCGATCCATCATATTAGAACGCATTTTCAGTCATCTCCACCTACAATCGGTGCTACCACCCCAGTACCACAATGCAAGAAAATTTCAACAAATTTCACTTTTTCAACTTCCATACATCAACCACAACCCAACAACCTAAAAACTAAATCAAAATCAAACCCAAACCAATCCATCATTAATCTTTGTAAATCGAAGGAAGATACACATACTTGGATAAAATGTCAAGGGAGGAGGAGCATCTATGTTGGAGAAGATGTTAATGGCGGAGGAATGCATTAATGTGCCAGGAGGAGAAGAAGAAGAAGGTGTTGGGTTTGTTTACAAGAATTTCAAACTATTTGAGGACATATTATAATTTTTAAAAGATTACAAATTATTATTATCCTAATTAACCCTAATCATGTTTAATTAGCTAATAAAAAATATGGTTATTTAGTTAACATTTACAAACTAGATAGCCTTTAATTTAATTTTAACTTGAAATGGTCTTTTAATAAACTCCCCCTATAAATGGTGGGTTCTTTAACCTTACTTGCAGTAGCAACTTTATGGATATCTCTAATGATCTACTTGAGCTTATTTACTACCAAAATAGTTTATTAAGAGATAATTACTTAAAGTCAAATTAAAGGATAACCAACTCTCAAATTACTTTGCAAGCAAGATATATCAAAAGATCTTTGGACACTTTTACTTAGGGATGTTTAAAACGGTTAACCAGTCCAAAACACCATTTTTTTTAATCGAACCAGTTTTTAGTTCAAAAAACCTTGACCCAACACCAAACAGTCTAGAGGAAAACCGGTTCCAGGTTCCAGTTAACCGATTAACCAATTTTACTCTGCTCACTCTGGAAAAGAAAAACCAACTGCCTTCCATGTCCTAATAATCCAAGTGGATCTCATTAATTGAATTCAAATCCAACCAAAACAAAGAAAAAGAAAATCGTCTCTCCCTCCCAGCAACTCTACACTTTTAAATCATCAAAAATCCTATCTTGATTAAGCTAAACCCAAGATTGACTGGGATCCAACCATCAAATCTCCACTGTTGAATTTCAAATTCAATTACATCATCACCTTTGATTGATGAATGTAGATCTAGCGTCCCAGATGGGAAAGGTGGGCACCGAGTGCATGATGATAGAAAGTTAAAAGTAGAACATATATTCATAGAATGACTCCTTCAACAGTTCAAATGGCATCTTTTTCACTCACAAAGGCAAAACAAAACAACAGAGTCAAGATTTGTTGAATAAAAACAAAGGAATACTAAGAGCAAAAAGTTTTATTGCACTGGTTGATGAAGAGACAGAGTGAGAGACTGAAAGTGATGGAGCCAAAGCAGGCAAGCAACAAGAGAACAAGAGCAAGAGCAAGAGCAAGTCACACGAAAGCAAGAGGCATCAACTTTGAGTGGCTTGAGAGATGAAGTAGACAGAGTGAGAATGACGTAACGCTTGAGAGTTTCGCAAGCAAGAGGCATTGAGAGTGAGAGACTTGAGATGAGAGTTGAGAATGATTTGGGGATTTTGGTTTTAGGGCTTTACATTTTACCCTTTTACTACAAACCGGATTTTAAACCGTTTTGGTTAACCGATTTCAAAAATCACTGAACTAGTAACCGGTCTAGAAAACCGATTCAAGCAAATTTTTGAACGAAACAAAACCAGTTTCACTAAAAACCGATTTTTGGCTTGGTTAACGGTTCAGTTCAGTTTTCTGACTTTTCTGAACAGCCCTATTTACTCATGTCTTTCACACTCAATTACATAAATACTATTGCTTCCATGAAAATGAAAAAAAAAAAAAAAAAAAAAAAACTTTTGAGTTACCAACTCCTATAAACCTAAATCTTAAATTCCCAAACCGATTCCATCAAATGGTTATTCACTTCAACAGCCATCACAAAAAGAGTTTGGGCAGGATTGAATCCCATTTCCTCAACCTCATTGACAATCTTGCAATATTTAGAATGTTTCGAGCGTGCTGCAAGTGGATAATTAATCACCAAATAAGAAATTCAAGATTGAGGCACACCAGTATCTTTCAAAAGAGCTATATATGTGGACCAAAACTTTTACTCCTTAAATCCAGTAAAAGTCCCCGTCCCATGCACTTCAAAACCGAAACAATTTTTCATCATGAATGACAACACTCTTAGAGGAAATTATAATATGCATATTTTGTTAACAAATATGCTCTGTTATAGAGCTAGTGAAAATAGTTTGCTCAACTACATGCAAGGCTCCATTTCCGTTCTATTGAATCTATGATGACCTATGAATTGATTGTTACAGTTCCACGTTCACATCATCTCCGGCAATAAAACCAAAGCTCGCTTCTGTGTTCTTCTTTTGCAATACATAAACTAGCACTATTATTCTCTAATAGAGCAAATAAAAAAAGCTTTCAAAAAGTCATGAAGGGATCTCAATTGCCACATCTAAGTTAGCTTCTCCACAATATAATCACATGGATGTCAATAAACTTATAACTTAAGAATCCACGTTATTAGCAAAATTTACTGAATATTTTTAGAATGTTTCTTTTGGTTCCTTTAGATGGAAATAAACAAACACATTCTAATCAATTGGGATCACTCTAGCGTAACAAATTCATTAGTTCAGATATAATATTGATAACATCACATTGTAAATCAATAGCCATATGCAGAACCACAATCTTGAGATGCTATTATGTTCTTTTGATGTACACTGTACAGACAAGTGAATGGTAATATATTATATTATTAGACTATAAAACAAATTTCATGTACAGTCTAATGAATGGTAATATATTTTGGAAGCAGAAACAGAGGCCATTCATGGTAAAAAGGAAGCAGAAGAATCTAGTTATATTCCAAGAAGGCAAGAACATTGACATTCCAACATTGGCTTTTCTAATTTTCATTTGGACTCAGCATGAATGTTACAACAATTTCATAGCTTAATGTTTTAAGAATGTTATGTCAAAATGTTGGATCCCCGCGTGTTCAAACAATTCAGACAATAAAAGAACCAGTACTTCAAGCGATAAAAATGGAGAATTGACAATAGTAAACCGGAAATGCAAACTGACCTTTATATATTAACAAAGATAAGGAATAAAACTGAACCAAGAATTGGAATCAGTCAATCCTTAATTCAACATAAAAGAAAAACAATAAAGTTAACATAAATTATTCCCATCCCAGCTGAACTTTGAGGGTCAGCCTCCTCCCCTGTTTGCCATATATTTTTCTGATATCCCTTCCTCTCTTTTGCCTCCCTTTTAATTCTCTTTTCCTCCTAATAGAATTCTTCCCTTATCCCATCCCTTACTGCCATCTGTCCACCCAATAACTGATTCTTAACACCTCACTCAGCTTTTAACATCTCACTCACCGGAATCTTATTTTTACAACTCAAAGTCCCCTACTTGCCTCCCTTGGATTTCTTATTGTATACCACATATCTGATGGTCTCATCACAAAACATTCATCCTAGCGTAAAAGAACTACAGATCCAACACTTGGTAAATCAAAAATAGTTTAAATTAGCGACTACCACAAAAAAAAAAAAGAAAAAAAAGGTTTATATTGAACGCAGTTCAAGAGTTAAACCTGTTTTATTTCAAATGCCTCTGAAATCCAGGGGAGGCATCCACTGGATTGATTTTGCCATGATATACATCTGATAACCCAGGAACTTCTTCTTGAAATTTTGTTACATACTTCTTAATAAAATTGCTCTGCCCAAGACATAAGTAACTGCATGGACGCATATTTTCTTTGATTAATCCTTTGGAGAGCAGAACCTGAATAACCAAACACCTCGGGGCAAGCCTCTTCTCTATGCTGAATGTGCAAACTATTGGCATTTTGGAAATATCTCGCGACAGCCAACCCATTTTCTTCACAAGGAAGTCCATAGCGCTTGTAATCTTCTCCTCAGATATTCTCATACAATAAGGAAACCTTCTAAAAGCAGCGAGAGTCTCATCCTCGGACCAACCCCACCTCCTGTAAACCTCTAACTTAGATTCCCAAACTGATTCCTTCAATTGGCTTATTACTCCAACTGCCTTAACAAACATAGTTTGGGTGGGATTAAATCCCATTTCCTTAACCTCATTGACAACCTTGCAAAATTTAGAATGTTTGGAACATGCTACGCCTGGCATATTAGTCACCAAATAAGAAATTTGAGATTGAGGCACACCAATATCTTTCAAAAGAGCTATATTTGGACCAAATTTTTTACTCCTTAAATCCAGTAAAAGTCCCCGTCCCGTGCGCTTCAAAAATGTGACAATTTTTTCGTCATGAATCACAACATTCTTGACGAAATTATAATTGGGGATAAGACGATTCTTTAAACTCATACATAACAATGTTGGACTCTTTGCTATGATCATTGCTAGTTCACTACTTGAAACCCCTATAGAACGGAAAAACTCAAGCTTGGGCGAAAGTATCTTTTCAGGATCAATTGAAATGATTCGTGGGCATCCTCTCACAACCTTAGAGATCTGGGATTTGGAGAAACCATGGTTGCTGAGAAACCTAAGGACTGAGTCCGCTCTTTCAGTGTTCTTCAATTGAAGATACTTAGAAGCAGAAACAGCAGATTTTAAAGACAACCCACATGAGTTTATCAAGTATGAAACTGTAAAAGACTCTTCCTGTTCACTTTGTTTAGTTTTGAACGATCTCTTCTCTACATGCGAAGATGATGAAAGAAACCTAAGAGGGAAAATCTTATTTTGAGAAAAACCTAGTTGAGTAGTTGTGAGATTCAGAGCAAAATCCCTATCAGCAATTACTTTTCTTGCTGTTCTACAAAGAAAACGAAACATAATGAAATTAACTTACTCAACGTTAAACTGCATTCCGGAAACTTCTTCAATTTAAACTGCCAATTCCAAGACCTACGAAGGCTGAAGCTGAATATAAAGCCTTCAACGTTCAATTCTGAGCCGCCATTGTTTTGTATTGTCCACCTGGTGGGTATGCCATTTTATAAATGTTAGAATGAGAGGTTCACCCTTAAGAGTATTTATATCCGACAAGACGTTCAAAGTATAGATTGTGTATGACATGTCGTATACTGAGAACATTTTTGGAGCTAATATATTCACATTTTCGCAAGTCCTGGTCCTTTTTTCATGTTTTGGCCTTTTGGGTAACAACCCCATTTATGTCATTTACATGTTAGAATCTTAATTGTTTTAAATAAAAATAGCTAATGCGTTTGGCTCCCTATTTTTATCCATATTCCCAATCCTATTCTCCAAATAATATTTGGCACATTATTCCAGAAATATTACCCTATTTTTTAATTATTTTTAGACCCCACAAAGTTATTAATTTTACTAAATACCCCCTGAAAAAAAGTTTAAAAATTAACAAAAATACCCCCATCAACCCAACTTGTCAGATTCCAGCAACCACCATCGGTGATAGCCAGAATCTGTACAACGGCCTAAATTCCGACCATAAATGGATGGAATTTCACCGATCTGGTCTTTTCCAGCCAGATCTACCACGGATCTAGCCTTCAACGACGGCCAAATAAATGGCCGTCGTTGACCGAAAAAGATGGCCGTCGTTTTCGCCTTTCCGGCCGTCGACGGCCATAACAGGTCGTAGATTTGGCCTTTTCCGGCCAGATACGTGGTGGATCTGGCCGGAAAAGGCCATAATGACGCGTTACGATAGGTCTGTGCCGTAACAAAATTTTCCGGCCAGATTCCAACGGTGGTGGCCGGAATCTGACACTATAGGTGGTGGGGGTGTTTTTGTCATTTTATATATTAGGGTCTTTAATTAAATTAGTAAACTTAAGGGTTTTTTCATAAATTTTTAAAATTTACCTCGTAATACTCCCCTGTCCAATATCTCAATACTATCCCCAAAATCCTATCCAAAATACTACACCAAACTCACCCATACTATTCTACTAGATTAAAGAATATACTGTTAAAAAATATATGAAATGTTGAAAATATGCTTAATTTATAAATAAAGCAAAAAAAAATTAAATTGGGTTGAAAATTTTCTTTGCTGAAAAATGATTAACTCAAGCATTGCTCTATATCATTTAAGTGGCGTATAAGAATATTAATTTGGGTAAAAATAAACGACTTTTTCCCACCTAAATAATGGTTTAATGACATTTTTTTACTCACAAACTTTTAAATAACACTTTATTATCCAAATTTATATTTTGTTTCCAATTCTAATATCTTTGCGACCCCACACCATCACCATTCTCTTCCCAATCATCACTCATCAAACCCCTCAAACCTTACTTCAACTAACCTCGCCAATCATCGATAATCAAGCGATTAGGGTTTACCCAACCACCATATCTAAGTCAAATTATAATCAATCTCAATCACCAAAATCCAATCTTCTACCACTAAAAAACTCACTAGTCTCCCCTTTTCAAAAGTCATAACAGCCTGGATATAGTTTGCTCTCTATTCGTTGCCGCAATATAAATTCAGATAGTAAAATAATATTTTAAAAGTTTGTGGATGAGAAAGTGTCGTTAAGCCATTATTTGGGTGGGAAAAAGTTGTCAACTCTTTGATTAATGTTTTTTTAATTAGTTAAGAGTTGATTATTAATTTAATTTTGTGATTAATTATAAGGTGGAAATAAATAATTATTGGAAATATATTTATTAAATTATAAAATTTTCCTTAATTTAGAGATTTATTATTAAAATTGTGATTAAAAATAAAGAATTGGTTAATTTTTGATAGATAGAGGTAATATGGTCATTGTACTATATATAGCCATGTCATATGCCAAAAATCATTTACAAAGACTAATGAATGATGGAACGTTGATAGTTTCTTAAATAAGGGAGAAGAAAGTGTTGATTCACCAAACCTATGATGGAAATATATATTTTGGCCAATATACAAATTGATTATAATATGTTATAATAATAAAGAAAATTAAAAAATATATATTTCAAAAAAGTTTTACCCAATTAAAAAAAAAAAAAAAAAAAAAAAAACTTTGAGTTACCAACTCCTATAAACCTAAATCTTAAATTCCCAAACCGATTCCATCAATGGTTATCACTTCAACAGCCATCACAAAAAGAGTTTGGGCAAGATTGAATCCCATTCCTCAACCTCATTGACAATCTTGCAATATTAGAATGTTTCGAGCGTGCTGCAAGTGGATAATTAGTCACCAAATAAGAAATTCAAGATTGAGGCACACCAGTATCTTTCAAAAGAGCTATATATGTGGACCAAAACTTTTATTCCTTAAATCCAGTAAAAGTCCCCGTCCCATGCACTTCAAAACCGAAACAATTTTTCATCATGAATGACAACACTCTTAGAGGAAATTAAATATGCATATTTTGTTAACAAATATGGCTGTTATAGAGCTAGTGAAAATAGTTTGCTCAACTACATGCAAGGCTCCATTTCCGTTCTATTGAATCTATGATGACCTATGAATTGATTGTTACAGTTCCACGTTGCATCATCTCCGGCAATAAAACCAAAGCTCGCTTCTGTGTCTTCTTTTGCAATACATAAACTAGCACTATTATCTCTAATAGAGCAAATAAAAAATCTTTCAAAAAGTCATGAAGGGATCTCAATTGCACATCTAAGTTAGCTTCTCACAATATAATCACATGGATGTCAATAAACTTATAACTTAAGAATCCAGTTATTAGCAAAATTTACTGAATATTTTTAGAATGTTTCTTTTGGTTCCTTTAGATGGAAATAAACACAACATTCTAATCAATGGGATCACCTAGCGTAACAAAATTCAAGTTCAGATATAATATTGATAACATCACATTGTAAATCAATAGCCATATGCAGAACACAATCTGAGATGCTATTATGTTCTTTTGATGTACACTGTACAGACAAGATGTGAATGGTATTATTAAATATTAAAAAAATTTCATACAGTCTAATGAATGGTATATATTTTGGAAGCAGAAACAGAGGCCATTCATGGTAAAAAGGAAGCAGAAGAATCTAGTTCTATTCCAAAGGCAAGAACATGACATTCAACATGGCTTTTCTAATTTTCATTGGACTCAGCATGATGTTACAACAATTTCATAGCTTAATGTTTTAGAATGTTATGTCAAAATGTTGGATCCCCGCGTGTTCAAACAATTCAGACAATAAAAGAACAGTACTTCAAGCGATAAAAATGGAGAATTGAAATAGTAAACCGGAAATGCAAACTGACCTTATATATTAACAAAGATAAGGAATAAAACTGAACCAAGATTGGAATCAGTCAATCCTTAATTCAACATAAAGAAAAAACAATAAAGTAACATAAATTATTCCCATCCCAGCTGAACTTTGAGGGTCAGCCTCTCCCCTGTTGCCATAATTTTTTGATATCCTTCCTCTTTGCCTCCTTTAATTTCTTTCTCCTCAATGAATTCTTCCCTATCCCATCCTTACTGCCATCTTCCACCACATAACTGATTCTTAACACCTCACTCAGCTTTTAACATCTACTCACCGGAATCTTATTTTTACAACTCAAAGTCCCCTACTTGCCTCCCTTGATTTCTTATTGTATACCACATATCTGATGGTCTCATCACAAACATTCATCCTAGCGTAAAAGAACTACAGATCCACACTTGGTAAATCAAAATAGTTTAAATTAGACGACTCCACAAAAAAAAAAAAGAAAAAAAAAGGTTTATATTGAACGCAGTTCAAGAGTTAAACCGTTTTATTTCAAATGCTCTGAAATCCAGGGGAGGCATCCACTGGATGATTTTGCCATGATATACATCTGATAACCCAGGAACTTCTTCTTGAAATTTTGTTACATACTCTTAATAAAATTGCCTGCCCAAGACTAAGTAACTGCATGGACGCATATTTTCTTTGATTAATCCTTTGGAGAGCAGAACCGAATAACCAAACACCTCGGGGCAAGCCTCTTCTCTATGCTGAATGTGCAAACTATTGGCATTTGGAAATATCTCGCGACAGCCAACCCATTTTCTCACAAGGAAGTCCATAGCGCTGGTAATCTTCTCCTCAGATTTCTCATACAATAAGGAAACCTTCTAAAAGCAGCGGAGAGTCTCATCCTCGGACCAACCCCACCTCCTGTAAACCTCTAACTTAGATTCCCAAACTGATTCCTTCAATTGGTTATTACTCCCACTGCCTTAACAAACATAGTTTGGGTGGGATTAAATCCATTTCCAACCTCATTGACAACCTTGCAAAATTAGAATGTTGGAACATGCTACGCCTGGCATATTAGTCAAAAAAGAATTTGAGATTGAGGCACACCAATATCTTTCAAAAGAGCTATATTTGGACCAAATTTTTTACTCCTTAAATCCAGTAAAAGTCCCCGTCCGTGCGCTTCAAAAATGTGACAAATTTTTTCGTCATGAATCACAAAATTCTTGACGAAATTATAATTGGGGATAAGAGATTCTTTAAACTCATACATAACAATGTTGGACTCTTTGCTATGATCATTGCTGTAGTCACTACTTGAACCCCTATAGAACGGAAAAACTCAAGCTTGGGCGAAAGTATCTTTCAGGATCAATTGAAATGATTCGTGGGCATCTCTAACCAAACCTTATAAATGGTGGGTTCCTCTTAACCTTACTTGCAGTAGCAACTTCTATGGATATCTCTAATGATCTACTTGAGCTTATTTACTACCAAAATAGTTTATTTAAGAGATAAATTTACTTAAAGTCAAATTAAAGGATAACCAACTCTCAAATTACTTTGCAAGCAAGATATATCAAAAGATCTTTGGACACTTTTACTTAGGGATGTTTAAAACCGGTTAACCAGTCCAAACACCCATTTTTTTTAATCGAACCAGTTTTTTAGTTCAAAAAACCTTGACCCAACACCAAACAGTCCTAGAGGAAAACCGGTTCCAGGTTCCAGTTAACCGATTAACCAATTTTACTCTGCTCACTCT